TTATTCAAAAAGTTTAAAAATGTTTTGCAGAAATCAGCACAGAAAATGTGTGAAAAGTTCAATTATTTCATTTAGGCCTACGTGAACTCCATGGGATCCCCAGTAGGGGGTGCTTATTCAGAAATTTGGACTCTTTTAGTGTGCGATATGTATTTTTGACCTAGTTTTATTTCGTATACATAGATTTATGTGTGAATGTCCCCCTTTATTTAACCCCTATCAATAACTGTGACAAATATTAATATATTTATGGGCCAAGCACTGAAGGTGCTTAGACATCTATTGTATCCATCTATTGTTTCTTATTCTTCTTCTTCTGCTCTGGAAGTCTATGGCGAATTTGCAAAATTTGCAGTACCAAGTATGACCTGAGGGCACATGAGTAGTTTTGGCACAGCGCCACCTTCTAGTCAAAAGATATAATGCTACGTTCAAGTCCTCCTGACGTTCGTACTTACGAGTTGACAAGTCGTAATTACGACGTCAGGTGCATTCAAGTCAGTTTAGTCAGCACAAGATGGCGGTGTACCTTCTTTTAATAAATTACAAGAAAATACAACGGGGACTGCATTTTTTTACTTGGATTTCAGCTGCGTAACAAGAACATGACCAATTTAAGTTTATAGGACAACTAAACTATCAATTTAAACTCAAATTTACCGTCAACTACAGACATTGCATCCATCGATTCTGCCATGTTTCTCATTGACACGCCCCCAACTCGGAAACTCGGGGCTTAAAGAAAATTTCAAGTTTCCCACTCGTAATAACGACTTTGTGGTGGCATTCATGTGCGTTCAACTCGTAAATACAATCTATCCGACATGACTTGAACGCACCATTAATATATATGTAAATGGACAATTACAAAATACACAATGAGCTAATGTTAAAATGGTCACGAGTAGCACATATGGCAGTGAAAATATATGTAAGTTTGCTCTGAATCAGCTTGTATGAGGCTAATGCTAATAAAAGAGAGATTTCAAAAAAAGTTCACCGACATGTTAACATTCCATGCAATTCTACAGCTCAAGAACCCAAATGTTGTTTTATTTTATTATTATTATTATTATTATTTACAATTTTAGCAGCAAATGAAGAGATAAAACTTTCGACTCTATCATGTTGTGCTTTATTCTCAGCGAATGCTAGCATGCTAAAAGCTGCTTTTTTTAAAAGAATTGCCTTCGTTTTAGCCGTCAAAGCAGCACCCTTTGTTATAAATGTAAAGCCTTCGACAATACATTTCAAGAATATTGATATGCTAGCTTAGCCAACGAAAGCTTAGCCTGTTTATTTGTTGAATATCTGTCTGTCAAAGGGCTGGGCGATCATGCATTTAGTTTGCGCTACCTTTAAAATGCTGGTGTATGTACGCACACAGGCATCTTAGCCTTGATTTTATTTGAGCATTTTACACTGATTTCATGCTAATTAAAAGTCTGTGCTTTTTCTTATGCAATGAACCTGCAATAATGAGCAGACATTGCCCTCGTATGTAGATTTGGAAGCTTCTGTTAACACGCTGTAGTATGACTGCAGTTCCCTGATGCAAATGTTCAGCATTCTAGTGCTAAATGGGTTCCTCTCTCCATTTCCCTTAATCCTGTATGGCGTACGAGCTGGGATTTAGCTCGGCGCACATTTGTTATGCTGCTTTATCTAGGCGCTAATGCGCTGGTGCTTAGTTAGCTGAGCACGAAGGCCTTAAAACCTACATCTCAATAAAACAGGCAAAGAAGACACTGATCAAATGAAATGAAGTTATGTCAAATAGAGTTCATACCTTATCCAACTTGGCTTCTATTTCCACAACATCAGTCTCGACTTCATCGATATTCGCCCTGCAGAGACACAAGAAAACACATTAGATAACAGATATATCATTTCTGATTGGTTATATCAGAGGACAAACAAAAACATTCACATTTTGGGATTATTGATTTATTTATTATTTCATTTTTACAGATATTGTGAATTCTTAATCCATAAATAAGTCCTCCTGACGTTCGTACTTACGAGTTGACAAGTCGTAATTACGACGTCAGGTGCAAGTCAGTTTAGTCAGCACAAGATGGCGGTGTACCTTCTTTTAATAAATTACAAGAAAATACAACAGGGACTGCATTTTTTTACTTGGATTTCAGCTGCGTAACAAGAACATGACCAATTTAAGTTTATAGGACAACTAAACTATCAATTTAAACTCAAATTTACCGTCAACTACAGACATTGCATCCATCGATTCTGCCATGTTTCTCATTGACACGCCCCCAACTCGGAAACTCGGGGCTTAAAGAAAATTTCAAGTTTCCCACTCGTAATAACGACTTTGTGGTGGCATTCATGTGCGTTCAACTCGTAAATACAATCTATCCGACATGACTTGAACGCACCATTATATATTGAAATAATATATATAGAGATAATATACTGGTGAAAAGGTATACTTTTTACCTTTTTGTTTATAATTTAATTAAAAATATATAATTTCTGAACAGTTTGACCAAAAATCATAAGATGGATCTTTTGAGCATGGACCATTTCGAATTTTGGAATAAAATGTTTTTTGGAAAAAATATTTTACAAACGCTTTAACGTATTGTTATGAATCTTATATAACCGCTTGGGGAAAAGTTATGAAATTTGGCACACAGATAGAGGACAGTCTTAACCATATTAACCATAGCCAACCAATTTGGAGTCTCTGTCTCAACCTCTCAAGCACCACCAATAGGCCAAATTTGCACTCATATTTCTGCTAATATCTTTTTAACTGTAAGGTCTAAAAACTAAATAATTTTTTTCTTCTGTTTCCTTGGCTCATACCGAGTTGAATGCATACCAAAATTTTTATTTATATGGGTTAAGATTTTTTCACAATTTTGAATTTTCCAAAAAATATCTACTTTTTCGAACTCGTCCTAGACGGTGGTTCAAATGTAACCAACATTAGCTCAGATTATCTTCCGAGAATTCTGGCAAAAAGTTTTTGATATACCAAACCGTTTTTCTAAAGTGTGTTAATGAATTTGACGAAATTTGTGCAAAAATGGACATGAGGCTATATCTCCGCAACACTTTAGCGGATTCTGACCACGCTTGGTATGTGTTATAACAAGTATGATCTGAGGGAAGATGAGTAGTTTCGGCACAGCACCATCTACTGGTCAAACGATATAAACATTTGACATTCTTGCTTCTAACGTCTGACTAGTTTTGTCTCGTTAGATTTGGAAAGGCATACCAAATAGAGCGCTACCTAATTTTCCTATGTCCGCCTTTTTGTGCATCAGCCATTTTGAGTTTTGTAGTAAAATGCTGTATCAACAAATGTCTTTAACAAGGTTCTCCAACCCTGCTCTTGGAGAACTACTGCAGAGTTCGGCTTCAACCCTAGTCACATACACAAGCTACTCAAGGTGTTCAGGGCTACTTGATTACAAACAGGTGTGTTGAAGCAGGGTTGGAACTTAAGTCTGCAGGAAGGTAGCTCTCCAGGAGCAGGGTCGGAGAACCCGGGTCTTTACAGTGTAATTAATTAAAGACAGCTCCTTAGCTCTTCATTTTACCTTTGTTGTGCTTGGCCCCTTAATTGCTGCTTGCAGCTATATTTGTCATTGCTGTTGCTCTTCCTGTTTGGATTTACCAGAGAATTTGTAGTTTTGGTGACTTGAAAACATTAAGAGAGTATTAGATTTTGCTCATTCTGTTCTAACCATAGGTTGTGAGGTTTATGATCAAGTAACAGTCAAATTGGGCGATTAGGCAAATCTAAGCCAGAAGACAAAATGCTTGGCTCAGGTCCATAATGCAGCTAATCCACCAAGACTCAACATGTACATGATGACGTTTAAGTACATATGAAGTATAAGTACATTTTACTTGTTGATAGAGTGGTAGTTTCACATTTTGCTTATGTGCAGATATGGCCTAGAACACAATAACATAACAGAAATAAACCTGTGACATGCTTCTCAGACTTCTCAGATGCATGTCAGTGTTGTTACTATTAACATTTATAGTTAATTGAAATAGACTTGAAATAAATAAAAAAAATTTAGATAAATATTATAACTTATTATTTATATAAATATAACAAATATCAGAACTTTAAAAAATGTAAGAAATTAATGAAAATTTGAAATGTTGCCTTGGCAACTAGCTTGAAATAAGTTAAAGAATTAAAATTAAATTGAAATAAAAAATAAATAGAAATATGTAAAACAAAAACTAATAAAAATGACAAATTTACAATTGGCTTAAACTACTTAGATTCATGTCAGTGTTGTAATTTTTTATAGTTAATTGAAATACTAAAACTTAGAAATATTAAAATGTAATATTTATGTAAATATATAAATATTTAAACACAAAATATACAAATAAAAATAACTTTATATTAAAATTAATTTTAAATTAAAATGACTGAATAACTATTTAAAAATAATAAAAAAGAATGACAAACTTGCATAATAAAATTGCTAAAAATGGAAAATATACAAACAGAGCTTATTTCAAAACTGTAATAGTATAAATAATGCTAAAACAACACTGATTCATGTCAGCAGACAGAAGCACAAATGTCCTCTATCTCAAGCTCTGAAGATGTACCTCCTTAAAAATATCAGTGTTGGGAAATAAACAGTGACTCCAAGAAGTATTAAGCTGCACTTAAATATGTGTGACTGCATTAGATCACAAAATATCAAACCACATGGCATCTGCAAACAAATGGCACAGCTTTACTCCGCACTAACAGAGCAACAAGTAACTGCCAGTGTAGTTCATCACATTTACTAACTATGAACCTGTTACACTAACATTCGACAATCTGAAAATCTCCAAATACTTGCTGTCTTCATTTTGAACAGTATATCTGTTGTTCTGTAAAATAGTGTGCTATTTAATTGATATCTATTTTGCTATCTAATAAAACGATGAAAGAGATCAAATATGGTTTAATGAAGTTCTCTTTCTTTCTCTCTCTCCCCCAGTATGCGGTTTTGTGGTCCACAAACGCTGCCATGAGTTTGTTGCTTTCTCCTGCCCTGGAGCCGACAAGGGCCCAGCATCAGATGTAAGTAAAGCACTGTGAGCACACTAGAAAACTCCTGCATTCACCCTCTTTCTGGCTTCTCTTGCGCCATATTTTCTGATAGTGAAATACACTTCCTTATCAGTTTAAAGAAACTTCTTCCTGTGACTAAGCAGTAAACACACACTCACACACTTATTCATGTATGCACACTGCTTGGTGAGCAGTTTAAATATTTATTCAGTGGCAACTGATTATGTACTGTTTAATGAAGCCTAACACGAATTATGTTCCTCATGTGTTTGCTTGCATTATATATTCACAAGCAAACAGGCAGAGACATCAGTTTTCTCTTCTCTAATCTCTATTTATAACCCCTCTTCCTCCCTATATGTGTAAAAGCAGGCGCACATGCACACTTCCTGTGTTGTGCTTTGTTTCTGTTTGCAGCCAATTATGTTTTTTTCCCGTGAATGATACTGTACTTCACATGTGATATTTGTTGCATCTCTATTGTGTGATGCTGATGTGTAGGAAAGCTTTGATTCTTGACCCTTTCAACCATTGACTCCTTTACAAAAGCTTGAAGAACACTGAGAAGCTGCTGAATAATTAAACCATTAGCTTGATTTTGTTGAATTTGCGCTTGCTGGAATCACTTCAACAAAGGAACAGCAGCAGTCAACATAGCTGAATAAAAAATTTTTAGAGTAATATTTGCAGTAGATTATTTCTTTGGGTCTCTACATTGGTGCCCCCTAGCTGTAGGAGTTTATCATACCATTTCATATAGTGCTGCAATATTCACTACATGGTTTTTTAAATTCCTTCTGGTATATCTTGCTATCAGTTGCAGTGATTGCTTTTTCAGTATGTGGGTGCAGCTGTCACAGATAAAAAACAAACGTGAAACCAAAGTTTAAACGCACAAGTAAAAATATATTGCACAAAGTAAATCATACTATTATTAAAAATAATACTAAGCATGAATCAAAACTTTAAACACATTTAAAATCATATTGCACAAAACTGACATATTAATGCAAAATTATCAGACTTGGTTATATTTCTCTGTTTTTTTGTGCTCGCAGACATTTTCTGCTCATATTTGTATTTTTTGTATGCTTTTGCTGTTTTTCCCTTCGCTCTTGTTTCCATGTTCTGCACTTGCTTTTCCAAATGTTGCGGTTAGAGTTTCATGTAAATCAGGGCGGGCTTAAGTGCCATTTTTTAAAAATCCTGCAGATACCCTGTTGTATTATGGTACAATTTGGAGTAACTATTTTTTGAAGCACTTTTTTAACTGTCCTCATTTTGTGTTGAGAATGTTATGTAGGCCACTAATCAAAAATAGGTCCTCTGTACATTTGTTTGTTACATGCAATTGAGATGTTTACATGTGCTTGTTAATTAGCATAACTGCACAAGTTTTATAGTTAATAAAATCTTTAAAAACAAATTACATTAATTATACTTTGATTTCCTTCAATAAAAGGAAATAGAGTAAGACGGTGTAAAAGGGTGTGGATGTGGATTAGTAAACTGGCCCCTTGATATAAATGAAAAAAAGTGCTGACCCTCGTCACTATCAAAGTTGCCCATTCCTGACCTACAGTAACAACCACAAAGAACAGTAAATTGTGACAGTAAAGACATTTATAATGTTACAAAAGATTTCTGTTTCAAATAAATGTTGTTCTTTTGAGCTTTCTATTCATCAAAACAATCCTGAAATCAACATTGATCATAAAAAGAGCAGCAAAACAGCATATTAGAATGATTTCTGAAGGATCATGTGACACTAATGTAATGGCTTCTGAAAGTTCAGCTTTGCCATAAAATCAAATATATTAAAATTTGACAGGTACTTAAAATGTTTTTCTTGTACTTTTGATCAAATAAATGCAGCCTTGGTGAGCATATGAGACTTCTTTCAAAAACACAATAACAGCTAAAACCAATTTAAATCACCCAAGACCAGCAAACCTTCTTAAGATAGTTTAAGCTGAGGTTTGTTTCAGAGTTGACTTGCTTAAATCCCATTTTATGTTAAGGAGCGATTTAAACAATAGAATTAGGTATATTTTATCATATTAAATCCTTTGACTTCGTTAAAATCGGTTAATTTAGGTGTTACTACATACATAATATAATTGGTTAATGGACAAAACATTTTACAACCTCATACACCAGTGTGTGGATATGGATCAATAAAGATTTTATTGGTTTTAATGAGATTCACATCTAAAAAAAAATAGAAACCGTTAATGATCCATGTACTGGATTTCACTGTGTAATTTTTTTGTGATTTTAATTGGTCTGTAGCTTTTTCAAACAAATGCTCTGATAATAATTTACTCACCTTTATGGACTTGAATACAAAGACTGGATTAGTGAGGATGGGCTTTGTTCAGAAACTAGAGAACCCATAGCTGTGCTGGTTTTGAATATGTAACGTTATAAGCAAATATGGTCAGTGTTCATTGTGCATGTTAGTGGTGTTGTGGGATATATGATATATCAGCAGGGCAGAAAGCAAACTGCTTTTCTAGCTGAAATGTTCAGCCAAGCATGCAGATCAGTACAACAAGAGTATTGAATGGAAATGTTGCAATAATGTTAATGTTTGCATGTTTTTGGCTTAGCTAAAGAGGATTTCTAGGTCTGTGTATGGCAAATTTGATTACTCAATTAATATGTGGTTGCCGCAAGCCCGACGGACACTCCTTCATCGAATCCGCCAGCCGCGCCGTTCTCAAGCCCGCCCGCCTCCGCTCACTCTAGGCCGCCGCTGACTCTAGGCCTCCAGCCTCCCTCACGCTAGCCTGCCGTGTGTTTCGTTGTGAAAGCGAAACTACTATTTTTTGGCCTTCCAAAAGAGGACACGACTAGAAATCAGTGGTTAAGTTGTATTTACGACACTGTTCCAGAACAGTTCAACCCAAATATTCAGATGTGTCCATCGCATTTTATAGAGTGTTTCCTGATCCTGGTAGCGTAGACTACAATGCCAGCTGTTCTGACTCACAGACTGTAAGTACGTTTTTTATATTTAAAGAATTTGCCACTGAAGACTCAATATATTAACATTTACATATAAATTTTATTTATTTTATTTGCCGTGGCAAGTTTTTTTTTATTAAGTAAATATAGAAATATAAATAGAATAGTATAATAGTGAACAGAAGTATTTAAAACAACAGAAACTATAAAAATGACAAAAGCACACAACAAAATTACTAAAACTTAAAATTAAAGCTAAAATATAAAAATAAAAGCTAAATTAATATATTAATAAATATTTCAATAGTAACTAAATAAGACTAAAGTAACACTGGTTTAGTTGCTTTGAAATACAAATTGCACATAAAGGTGTTCCAGTTGAAGTTTTTGAATATGTATGCACATATAATAATACTTTAAAATCCTTAAATGGTTTTCATGTTTTTTCTGTAATTTAATTTGTAGTCAAGGAGGCTCGTAACTTGGTGCCAATGGATCCAAACGGCCTGTCAGATCCATATGTGAAGCTTAAATTAATTCCAGACCCAAAGAGCGAGAGCAAGCAGAAGACAAAAACCATCAAGTGCTCCCTCAACCCTACATGGGACGAACACTTCAACTTGTGAGTGGCAAATAAACGTAACTGCAATCAAGTGTATTCATTTGTGTGGATGTGGATGTTTCACATGTGCAATGACTGTTTCTATCTTCGTGTTACCATAGTAACCTCAGAGATACAGATAAAGACAGGCGTTTGTCAGTGGAGGTGTGGGATTGGGATCTGACCAGCAGAAATGACTTCATGGGGTCGATGTCTTTTGGCATCTCTGAGCTGCAGAAACAAGGTGTCAACGGATGGTAAGCACTACCAGATACGAGATACCACCTACACATGAGACTTCAGTGCTCGAGGATTGAGACCATTATCTTCATCTGTTTGGATTGTAGGTTTAAGTTGCTGGGCCAAGAGGAAGGGGAGTATTTCAACGTTCCAGTTCCACCAGATGGAGAGGAGGGCAATGAAGAACTGCGGCAGAAATTTGAGGTGAAATCCACATCATTTTTCATTTGTATTCACACATTTTTTTACCTCTAGCTTTCTTCCCTTTCTGACATTATTCTGTTGTTTTTTTTTACTCTCCAGAGAGCCAAGATTGGCCCTGGCAATAAGAATACAGATGGCTCTTCAAAGAATGACATCTCTAAATATGATGCCAATGGCAACAAAGACCGCATGAAGCTCTCAGACTTCAACTTCATCATGGTGCTGGGCAAAGGCAGCTTTGGCAAGGTAGGACACACCATTCATTCATGTACACATTCTCATTTACACAAACAGCTGTGTTAGTAAAAGGGCTGGTGAAGCTAGCATGTTACCTTTTGAGATTGAGTTTTTTTTTTTTTTTTTTGAAAGAAATTAATACTTATATTGAGCAAGGACACATTACACGGATCAAAAGTGAGAGTAAAGACATTTATAAGATTTCTATTTCAAATAAATGCTGTTTTTTTAACTTTCTTTTCATCAAAGACACAAAAATATAAGGCAGCACAACTGTTTTCAACATTGATAATTAAAAGAAATGTTTCTTGAGCAGCAAATCACCCTAGTAGAATGATTTCTGAAGGATCATGTGACACTAAAGACTGAAATAATAATGCCAAAAATTCAGCTTCGCAGTCGCAGGAATAAATTTGATTTCCGGATATATTCAAATAGAAAACGGTTATTTTAAATTGCAATAATGTTTCACTTTTCTATGCATTATATAACATTTTACTGTAGCAAATAAACGCAGCCTTGGTGAGCATAAGAGACTTCTTTCAAAAATATTAAAAAAGCTTTATGACTCCAAACTGTTGAATGGAAGTGTATTTTTATTATTTCTAAAAGTGTTTAAAATTCTGTTCTTTTTAAAAATAGTCAGAAGTTTGGGAGAAAAAGTGTCCGTATTCAATATTCCATAGCCATACTCTCATTTATCAGTAAATGATTGAAAATTAACGCCACATTTATTTATAAATTAAATACATATGGGATATTTAACAAAAATTATGTCATTTGTAGGCTTTAAATTATGTAAATTAATTATCAAATCAATTATACATAATTCCGTAATAAATTATTACATTTATTTTTACATTGAAATTAACAATTATTAAATAATTTTTACCACTATCCCTATGTCAGTATCACAATAATCACGTTCTCCTTTACTCTGTTTTTCTGCAGGTGATGCTTGCCGAACGTAAAGGCTCAGATGAGCTGTACGCAGTGAAGATCTTGAAGAAGGATGTGGTCATTCAGGACGATGATGTGGAATGCACTATGGTGGAGAAAAGAGTTCTCGCTCTCTCTGGCAAACCACCCTTCCTCACACATCTCCACTCGTGCTTTCAGACCATGGTACACATCACACTCTCTCTTTACACACACTTTACACACAGATGCACATACACATGAAAAACACATTATAAACCCATAATCAATTGTGTTGTGATTGTTTGTAGGATCGTCTCTACTTTGTGATGGAGTATATCAACGGTGGAGATTTGATGTATCAAATACAACAAGTGGGAAAATTTAAGGAACCCCATGCTGTGTATGTATTCACTCCTAAAAACAAACACAAAACAGTTAAATTATGACAACATTTTTAAATGTTATAATTATACATTTAATAGCACAAAATAGTATTTTAAATTATTATTTTAAAACTGGACTAATGGCTGTTGGAAATTAATCTTTGCCAGCACAGGAATAAATTACATATTAATATTTATTAAAATAGAAAACAGTTATTGTTTAAATTGTAAAAAAATTCTTTCAGAAACATTACAAAATCTTACAGACCCCAAATGTTTTGTGTACAATATATAACTATTTCTGACATTTTATAAAAGCAATTATCATAGTCATCAGTTTGGTTTGTTGATGTGTCAGGTTTTAAGCATTAATGCTCATGCCAACCAACAATACTACTGTTATTTAGATTTATTCATAAGTCAGATCAGTAATTTAACTGGGTTTAATTCTATTTTTATTTTTTTTATTTTTTTTCAATCAGGTTCTACGCTGCAGAAATTGCCATTGGCTTGTTCTTTCTTCAATCAAAGGGCATTATTTACAGGTGAAATGTTTGTTTGTTTGTTTGTGGATGTACCCTGAGTGCTCACTAGTTTGGCATAGTGAAGAAATTAGAACACCACAATGCCAGAATTTAACAATCTATTATAATAATACACAAAGTAGTATGCATTACTTTTTGTCAATATTCCACTGTGCTGTAAATTGTCCCTAAAGTTAATTTGTGTCAGTTTTAAACTAATTATGAATAATATAGAAAATAATGAAATTGAATCTCATGTTTCGTGATGCATTGCATTATTTATTTATCATACTCAAACTGATGTCAGAGCAAATATTTACTAATATATGTGTATGTTAACTGTTGTTGCTCCCTGGTTTTGTGTAGAGATCTGAAACTGGATAATGTGATGTTGGATGCTGAAGGCCACATTAAGATTGCAGATTTTGGCATGTGCAAAGAGAACATGTTTGATGGGGCCACAACCAAAACCTTCTGTGGCACTCCAGACTACATTGCCCCAGAGGTGTGTGTGGACATATGAGTGTGTTATATTAATTACAGTGAGTCTATGTTAGTGTGCACAAGGCATATATATGTTCTCCTGTGTTACAGATCATTGCATATCAACCGTATGGCAAGTCTGTCGACTGGTGGGCGTATGGAGTTTTACTGTATGAAATGCTGGCAGGACAGGTAAACTAATGCTACGCTAACATTCTGGGTCTAAATTCAGATTGGATGAGCCATTTTCAGAAGTAATTATGCAATTGTGATAGATGCAATGGTGCTAATGTGCTTCCTCTAGCCCCCTTTTGATGGTGAGGATGAAGATGAGCTTTTCCAGTCCATTATGGAGCATCATGTGTCTTACCCGAAATCCATGTCCAAAGAAGCAGTGGCCATATGCAAGGGGGTAGGCAAATACACAATTTATACATTTTTGTCTATGCTTGCATACATTAACAAACACTGTTACGTCTGCAGCTGATGACCAAGCATCCAGGGAAGCGCCTGGGCTGTGGACCAGAAGGAGAACGAGACATTAAGGAACACGCTTTCTTCCGCTACATGGACTGGGAAAAACTGCAAAGCAAGGAAGTTCAACCCCCCTTCAAACCCAAAGCAGTAAGTAAAAATGTAGCTCTGTGTGTGTGTGTGTGTGTGTGGGTGTGTGGGTGTATCAGGTGGGTGCATCCTTTTTACACTTTTCTTTCTCCAAGTACACTGTATTTCAGTTGCAGTGATGGAAATTATTTCCATTTTTAAGTGTCTATTTTTCAAAGAAGATTTGGTGATTGTGGCCAAGATGCAGTGGTTCCAAACTGCTCAGTGCAGGAAGTAATGCGTCACTTCATGCTCTGCTGTTAAACCACAAAGATTATGAAAACACAAATATGTGAGGCAGTAAAGGTTTGGTTTTAGATTAAGGCACACAAACACTGCAAACAACAATAATGGAGCATTTTAAGAGTTTAAGCGTTTTTACTGTGTGTTTATTTTGCGGGTTGTCTCAGGATGTGGATATACAGTGACCCCAAAATATATTTGGACACTTAAATCACACTAAACTGTATACATTGTATTCATTTTAAAGACATGTAGCACCATTTTCAACAATAAAACAGTACATATGCTGTTTCAAGGCCGACCAGCTGCTTTGGCTGAACAATGTGAAGGTGAATAATGGTAATCCACTGCATTTGCATCACTTAAATGAATTCATATTCATGACCCAAGCTGTGCTGCTCTTGGCATATGGAGTTACTTTTGTGTCCTTTTTATTTAATCAAACATACTATGTTTGAGAGCAAAACTGATTATATTGTAATTAAAAAATAAAAGTTCTTGCTAAGAATGTTTTAATTACAAAAATAAAGTAATTGATAACAAAACTCTTGTCATTGCAAATAAATATTCGATGCAGTTCCCACACTTTTCATTCCGCGCCCATATATTTTGCTCTCTGTTCTGTCATTTTTTTTAAATCTTTGCTTGCAAGTTTTGCCTATGAGTGAAGCTGCATCTCAGTGGGTGGTAACAATGCACCAATATGAAAGCCCTGTTTCTATTGCTCACTTTTGCGCTTGGAGCAATAGTTTGGTCACACCCACTGCACGGTCCCAGTTGTTCCATGAAGAGGGTGCCTTTTAACACAGGGCTTAATACACAGTCTAATGTCCTAACAATTTTTATTTTTTATTTTTTTTACTGTAACAATTTTAATGGACCTTCAACTTAACATATTGCATAATACAGTTGAATGAGCCATGAGTCATTTCAGAGCAGTCTCTCTCAGTCGTGTTCAAGGGTGCGTTAAATATGACGGCGGCTGACGACATGCTATAATGGCCTAGCAAAATCCAAAATTTTACCATATTTCATTGTACCAACCTGCTTTTGTGGACCCAGGATTTACAGTATATTCAGTATAACTCTTCTTTCTGCCCATTTGGCACAGCTCAGCCATGTTAATTTAATCCTAATATACATTTACCCACCTATTATCAAACGCCTTCCTAGAAAATAAAACATTTTCTTCTTACATTGTGAATTCTTTTGACAAATTCATTATATATCCATACCTGGTAACAGGTACATTAGCTATAATAGGCTTAAGCTATACATAACAATTTATGAGATTAATACTGTTTTTTTGTTTTCCATAAAATGCACTTTAATGTATTTTAGGGAAATGCATAACTTTTTAAAATGCAATTTTGATCATATGAGGCAAAAATATATTATTTGTTGGCTAAATGTTGCACCTGCTTAGCGTTTCTCATATTAATATCTTTATTCTTATACAAATACCACAAAATGCATGAAAAACACATACAAACCATATACAGTCACAAAGAGTTTTTCAGACTTTATTTTTTAAATTTAAAAATATTTTTTTTGCAATCTTTTATATACAATATAATCAGTTTTGTTTGGTTGAATAAAAAAAGACTCAATAGTAATACTGGCATGTGCACTATATCTCTGAAGAACAGAAGTCATATTTGGTTTATATATATATATATATATCACAGCTGCAACAACGTTTAGGTCTAGTTATTAAAGTAACAATATTGGTAAAGTGATTGTCTTTAAGCTTTCAAATGGTATTTCATATAAGTGTATCCATAGCAACTAGGCATTTTGTATATGTGAAGGGAGGCTGATGAGATTTTAAATGCGTCTCCCACTTTTCAGATCATTCCTGAGCCCCCGCAGTTAACAGAGATTGCATTAGGTTTTTTTTAACATTTGATTTAATTATTTGATTTATTTTGATGATAAGTCTTTACATGTATAGATGACCATGTAACAGTGCAGCCTGAGTCAGGTTAAAAAAGTCTAAACATATATTTCTGATAATACATTTGACTATGGCCTGATTGGCCGAGTTTTAGTAAGCCCCGCCCCCACATAATTCTGCATTCAGGAGTGTGTGAGGTGAATTCAAAGAATAAATATTTAAACATTTAAATATTGAATTAAAATGATTTCACCCATTAACAGGTAAGTGGTTTGGATACAGATCCCTTATTATTTTCTCACAATCCTTTCACAGTCCCTCTTCATCTGCTCACTTCTTTTTGAATACTTGGAATTGACCAATTCCACAGATCACATTTTTCTGAATGCTGCCTCACCTGAAAACTAAATGCTTCTTTAACATGTGTTGACTTATATTCTGTCATAGTTAAACAATTGGCAGCATCAGGAATATGTTTCCAACACAGAAAATGATGTGCATGAAATGTTTGCTCAAATGAGAGCAGGAAGGTGTTTGTTATTGTTTGACTGCCAATTAGGGCTGGGCAATAAAATGATAATTATCGCGATATAATCTTCCTCGATAAAACGATAACAAGAGTTTGTTAAATGTTCAATATGATGTTTTTGCTCCAAAAGCAGAATGAAACCGCGCTACTCATTTGAACCACGCAACACAGACCATTTATCCACTCGGCTTCAAACTAAGTTCAAACGGTAGCGCAGCGCGAGCTCACTCGAGCAGATGCGTTTACTGGCTGATGAGTCTCAGTCATGTGACACTAAACAGCGCTGTGAGATCCAGTGTGAAGCGAAGAACACTAATGACTGTGATTTAAACTAGTTTAATGCCAGATGAAACAGCACTGACAAACAGTAGAAAGACTGGGCGCAGTGATAGTCAGAAGGCTTTTCAATCTACAAATTGCCATAATTTACCATACACTAACTGCACCATGGTATTGTGGCAAAAATATGGGATATTCATGTCGAATTTTATTTTATTATTAATTTAGACATGTTAAATGTATTACAGGAGTAATAGAATAGAAATATTTTGGTGAGTTAAGCTATAGCATTTAAATGTATTTAGATTACTGTTGTTCATACAAACACCTAGAAACCATGGTATTGAGGTGCTATATGTGTGGTTTTAACTGCTATCATGATTTAAATGTATGCTGCTATGGAAGACCAATGGTTCATTTTAATAAAACTCAAACCGAATAATTCAATTTCCCCATATAAACATACAATTTTACAGATGTTACTGTTTTTGATAATGAACAATTTATATCTGCCTCCTAACTCAAGCTATTACGACTGTCAACTCAAGCTACTATCAAATGTGCATTTCTAAGAGACAAGAAAATGTAATGTTATTAATATTGCAGCCTGCATTGCAAACTGTGCTGAAGATAAACGTCATCAAAGTCAGGCAACACAAACCTGTTTCATGATCTGAAACAATATCACTCATTAGAACTTGCAGAAACTAAGAAATAATTTTTTTTCTATTAAAATATTTAATTTGTTAAGGAAAAATGACTGGAAGAGTGTAAAGAATTCAAAAGATGGTGTTTGTCATGTTCTGACCATAAAGAGTCATTTAAAACCACAAATAATGGTCTGGTTTCTACAACTTTCACTTAGGAGCAAACATTTGCCTTTAAACTTGAAAGAAATAAAGATTTATAATTTATCGAGAGAATTATCGATTTCGTGATAATTTTTTTGGCCATATCGCCAAGCCCTACTGCCAATATGTGCATGTATTTTAGTTATGCAATATACTGTAGGTATGTGCTCATCATTTTCTGTCATTACACATTTACTCAGTTAAGACTGTTACGATAAAAGTACAGTTACTGTTATCACACTTTTTAATTATAATTTTTTTCTTTTTGCTTTCATTTGTCATTGATTCCTCATTTGTTTGCTCATGCCATACCATCATTTTCCCATCCCATATCTCTCTTCTCTCGTCTTCTCTACAGTGCGGTCGAGACGCAGAGAACTTTGATCGTTTTTTCACCCGCCATCCTCCCGTCCTGACCCCTCCTGACCAGGAAGTGATTCAAAACCTGGACCAAGAAGAATTTCAGGGCTTCTCATTCAATAATCCAAATTTTGCATCTGTGAAATCCAAGTAACCAGTTTTAGCCAAGCTCAAAATAGGGACCAATAAGATTACACGTCTTGAAATTACATAATGTGAATGAGCCAATGAGAGAGTTCAACCAGATTGATGGAGGAATGGAGGTCATTTCCTGCTTACTATTTCTTATTTGATTAAAAGGATCAAGGAAAGAGACTGACTAACTTTGTTAATTAACCTATAAAGAGTGAATGTGTGGCAGCTTTGCAAGATTTTGACTATTTGATGATTGATATATCATGGACTGTAGAGTTATTGGTTAAAAAAAAAGAGTATCTGGATAAATCCAGTGTCCTGGTCACATTTCACCCCTTAATAACAATAATAAAATTAATTTAGATTTTTTATTTATTTTTTTTGCTGACATAATTGTCATAATTAAAATTCTATAATGACAATTTAATGAGAATTAGACAAAATGTACTCAAATATGATAATAAATAATGTCTCAATGCAGAAACATTGTAATGGTTTTAAAAAATAGGCTTCATTTTATTTATTATAAACATGTTTTTTATTAAATTAGTTTTCATTTTGAGGTGAAACGTTAGCTAGACATGCCCTAGAGGTTTTAAGAGATTGACTCATTGGGCCTCATTCATGAAACATTCATAAATATGAGAGTAAATTCTGAGTAATTTGCGCGTAAAATGGACTTTCCCGAAAACTCTCCTCCGGATTCACAAACACTTCGTAAACTTCCGATTTGATAGTTAAACATGCGTATGTTAATGAATTCCAATGATTCGTAAATAGGGCCATCGTGCACGCTCATTCACAATTACCATAATCCCCGCCTATGAATTACAGCTATGAAAATTGCGTGTCCAGGAATGCAGTGGAATAATTGGCGGCACAGCGTTTTTCCAGCCGAGACGCTTTGATTGCTATAATTTGGAATATCCACGGCAGTAACGCATTACTAGTATCTCATTTTGAAGAATATTACTGAATATAAAAATGCAGTAACCAGCAATGTTAACTTCTCTATTGTTGTTGTACAAGTAGGATGATGGGTCGGTGTAGCCTCGTATTTGTCCCGCCCCTCCTCCATTGATTGGACGACTAGGTAAAAAGTGACAGTGACAAGCGCTGCATTTTACCCAAAGCTAAAAAGTTTATCAGCTCCCAGCTACAAAAAAAACAAAAACAGAGCAAATTAACTTGTAAAATATTATGACGGCAGTGCATCAAAATTCAGTATCATCAGTTTGCCAAAAAGAACACGTAATGTTTTACGCACCATTTACACTTGGTAGGGAGCAGGTGTAAATTTATTTCGTACCAACTAACATTTTGAAAATACGAACACTTTCATGAATCCGAAAATTTACGTCAGAACAGCTTTACGAACGATTTACACAAAAATTTGTTCTGCTCGTGTTTCATGAATGAGGCCCAATGTCTCTGATGAAACATATCTTTAGAATATCAAATATAGCCAAATCTTTCTGTCTCCCCCTCACACACTCGCACATACACAAACCATGCGCCTCAGATGAACCATTTACCGCTTATTGATCAGGATGTTTATTGGGTCACCCCATTTTAGTGCTTTTTTTGGGTTGGGTGTCGTACATGTGTTTGTGTGAAACTGTGCCAAGTCAGAGATTAAAGTTTAGGAACCGGTCATGCAACATGTAGTTTTTCAACCAGTGCTGCTTGGATACTCATAACCACATCCTTAAACCAACTGGAAATAATAGTGATATGACTACAACAACTTAATTCCAGATATGATTATTATGTAACTACTTACGAGAACATATCTTTTTATGTCATTATTCTGCCAAATCTGTGATGTATGACATTTTTTGACTTGTTACCTGTGCCTGGCAGTGTTTTGATCAAATTACTGTGAAACTGGACAGACTGTTTCTATAGAGGAAAATATATGAATATGTATTTGGAATATATTAATGATTTCTGTATATCTGTATATTTTCCTTCTCTGTGTTTATTCTTGCATACACAAACAATGTCTCTGAATACTGATATTTTAGGATAAGTTAAATATAGTACTTACATATGTACTGTAATTTCTAGATGACAATATTTCATTTCATTTACATAACTGCTTTTCTGATAAATATATAAATGATTTACTAACCTATAAAATGCAAAATTAACAGTAAATATTGGCATAATATATATATATATATATGTGTGTGTGTCTGACCCTGGACCACAAAAGCAGTCTTCAGTCGCTGGGGTATATTTGTAGCAATAGCCAAAAAAACATTGTATGGGTCAAATTTATTGATTTTTCTTTTATGCCAAAAATCATTAGGATATTAAGTAAAGATCATGTTCCATGAAGATATTTAGTAAATTTCCTTCTGTAAATATATCCAAACTTATGTTTTGATTAGTAATATGCATTGCTAAGGACTTCATTTGGACAATTTTAAAGGCGATTTTCTCAATATTTTGATTTTTTTGCACCCTCAGATTCCAGATTTTCAAATAGTTGTATCTCGGTCAAATATTGTCCGATCCTAACAAACCATACATCAATGGAAAACTGCTTTCAGATGATGTATAAATCTCAATTTCGAAAAATTGATCCTTATGACATATATACACATATGGTCACATATACAGTATATATATACTGTATATAACTAGGTATCTTATGCTCACCAAGGCTGCATTTATTTGATCAAAAATACAGCAAAAAACAGCACAATTATGAAAAAAAATACAATTTAAATTTTATACATTTTATATTGATGGTAAAGCATCATTACTCCAGTCTTCAGTGTCACATGATTCTTCAAAAATCATTCTAATATGCTGATTTGCTGCTCAAGAAACATTTATTAGCAATGTTGAAATTGGTTGTGCTGCTTAATTTCTCTGTGGAAGCCATGAAATTTTATCAGTATTTCCATAATCTTTGTTGAATAGAAAGTTCAAAAGAACAGCATTTATTTGAAATGGAAGTATGTTGTAACTTTATCAATGTTTTATTGTCACTTTTGATCAATTTAATGCATCCTTACTTAATAAAATATATAAAAAAAAAAAATTTAAAACATACTTTTTGGTAGCATAATTACACATTTTGAGTATATAGAAAATAAACAGGCTACCAGCAACAAACCAGCAGGGAATAGATTTTGAAACCTAAATATTGATAGTGTTATTTATAATGTGAAAAGTTCATTAAAAAATACATAGCCACAATGCTTTCATTAACACTTTCATTAGTTGACTATTTTTTTTAAATAAGCTATCAACAAACTCATCTGAACTCACACATATGCTTAATTATTATCCTAATGTAATAACATAATCATCCAAAAGAAGTGTTTTGCGCGTGTGATCAAATTGTGGGTCTTCTGGGTCTCACGAGGACATGATGGAGCAGTTATTGAGTAGGTACAGGGACCTGATTCTCAAGAAGTACTTCTCTCCAAGGCCCTTATTCTTGAGCAGGTTTGGGCCTCTAGCAGAAGGTAGGACTTTGTCTTGATTGTCCTCCATCTTGAATGAAAAGGCATTTGGTGTCTCTCTGTTCCTGGTTTGTGTGTTTAGCAGAACTTTGAGCTGTTTGTCTGCAGTTGGTGGCTGGACTTTCATGTCCAAACGTCCATCTCATTCTCATGGGTGTGTTTTAGATGTTTATGGTCCGGTCTGCTCTGCTCTGTACTGTCCCTCCATGTTATTTGTGGTTTAATTCAGCCTCTTCCAGACTGACTCTCAAAATATGTAGTTCTGTTAGTCTCTTTTGTCTTGAGTTTTTGATTCTGATGTAACTTCAAGCTGTGGTTTCATCTTCATCAGTTTCCTCTTGGTCTTTTTAGCTGTTTCTGACTTCTAGTTATCCTCTGTGGTGTTTGTGTGTGTGTGTGTGTTAACTTACTGTTTGTATGTGATTAAAATGACAGACATTTGCTTTAAAGACAACATAAAATCACAATAGAACCTATCTGCTGTTTTAATACTTGTTTCTGGTAATTTGGCATATTTTTCCAAAGTGCTTTCCTAATCCATCATCAAATTGCTCCACATCTGAAACGACTCTGATATCACCAAGGCCTTATATTAACCAAGTAACAGTTTTCATGCAATTTCTGATGGACAATTTCTTTTTTGTTGAATATCCTGATTATCTCAAAAACAAATAGCGTTGTAAAAGTAAAATAGGTTGCAAATGCAATTTTATGTTGACTTTGAAACCTAATTTTAACTGCATTTCTAGTAATTGTCTTACTGAAGTGATGCATAATGCAACATGCCAAATTTTTTTTTTTTAAAAGCCATTTTGTAGATGAAAAATTATATCATAGAGACAGAAAAAAGTAAAACACTTAATATTTTTATACAGTATAATATTGTACAAAAATTAATTAAGTCATCTTAATACAACGTTGACTAATGTGTATTTATAAATATTCATTGTTTTTTTCATAATACAATAATTCACTAATGTTAATTTACACAAATTAATGTTAAGATGTACACTACCAGTACCATTCAAAACTTTAGCTTTGGTAAGATTTTTATTTTTTTTAATAAATACTTTTATTTAGCAGTGATGCATTATATTGATCAAAAGTGACAGTAAAGACATTTTCTTTCAAAGAAATCCTGTTCTTTTGAACTCTCTATTCATCAAAGAATCCTGAACAATATTAAGCAGCACAAAGTCGAGTGAGACTGAAGACTGGAGTAATGGCCGCTGAAAATTCAGCTTTGCAGTTACATGAATAAATTACATTTTAATACATATTCAAATAGAAAAGTTATTTTTACCTGTAATATTATTTCAAAATATTACTTTTTACTGTATTTTTGATCAAAAATCTTTTTCTTTTTTTTTTATTCTTACCAACCCCAAATTTTTTAACAGTAGTATATGGGTAGAAATGAACTAATGTTAACATACAGAGCCTTTCTGTATTATATTGCTATTGAAATGGTTAAACACATTATTTTAAAAAATGTGTAAATGGGTAAGAAACTTGATCTTTGACCTTTAACACCTTGCGTTCAGGTTACTAGTCATAACCTTGCATTCATAACTCTCTCTGTTTTTTTCTTTCAGAAAAATCGACGGGACACAGGTAATTTCGACAAGGAGTTCACCAAGATGGCGGTTGAGCTGACACCAACAGATAAACTCTTCATTATGAATCTGGACCAAAATGAATTCCAAGGCTTCTCCTACACCAACCCTGAGTTTGTCATTCAGGTTTAACAGCAAACTCCAAACGCTTGCTCCATTCAGGTGTGAGAGCAGGAGGCGGTCTTATTACCCAGAAAGCATTATTTTGTCCCTGTGCATCTTGATTGTCCTCTCTCTTCACTTA